TTGGTTGTCTGGAATAGAGTCATTGATTTCTCATCTTTTCGGTGGAGCATCCTTTAATTCCTCCAGTCGGGATAAATGATCGACAACTATGTTCTCTGCTCCCATTTTGTCTTTGATTTCAATGTCAAATTCTTGCAGCAGTAGTATCCACCGGATCAGTCTTGATTTTGCGTTTGTTTTAATCATTAGATGTTGAACTAGTTGGTGATCCATGATCACTATTGTCTCTGCCAAGGTGAGGTAAGATCAGAATTTGTTCAACAGCTCCTTTTCTGTGGTCATGTAATTCCTTTGCGCCTCATTTGGTGTTCTACTTGCATAGAATATAGGGTGAAATATTTTATCTTTCCTTTGCCTTAGGACGACCCCAACTGCATAGTCACTGGCGTCACACTATATCAAATTCTTGTGACCAATCTCGCAATGTAAGGACGGGTGCTTCCGCCAATTTTTTCTTTAATAGTTCAAAGGCTGCGATGCATTGCTCATCCATGTGGAATGTATCATCTTTTTCCAGGAGCTTTGTAAGTGTTTGAGTAATTTTGGAGAAGTATTTGATGAATCATCTATAGAACTTGCATGTCCCAAGAAGCATCTTATTGTCTTGATAGAGGTGGGTAGTGGAAGATTTGCGATGGTTTCTATCTTTGCTCAATCCACCTCAAATCCTTGACTTAAAATCTTATGTCCCAGGACGATTCCTTCCGGTACCATGAAGTAGCTTTTCTCCTAGCTCAGTGCTAGGATGGTTTCTTTACATCGGATCAGTACCTTCTTGAGGTTTCTTATGCAGTGCTTGAATGAATCCCCATAGACAAATCCATGAATACCTCCACTATATCATCAATGTAATCAAGAAATATGATTGTCATACATCTTTGGAAAGTGGTAGGGGCATTGCATAAACCTAAATGGATTCTTCGATATGAGAAAGTTCTATAAGGGCATGTGAATGTCATCTTCTTTTGATCTTCAGGGGCAATGGTTACATGAAAGTTGCCAGACATTCCGTCAAGGAAATAATTAAAGGCATGGCCAGCCCATTTCTCCAACATTTGGTTGATGAATGGTAGAGGGACATGATCCTTCCATGCAACGTCATTAAGCTTTCGATAGTTGATGCATACTCTCCATCATGTTACAGTTCTTTGCGGGATAAGATCTCTGTTATCATTGGGTACGACGTTCATTCCTCCTTTCTTTGAAACCACTTGAGTAGGGCTGACTCATTACTGTCCGAAATGGAATATATGATTCCTACTTGTAATAGCTTCATCACTTCTTTCTTCACAACTTATTTTAGATGGGGATTCAGATGTCGTTGGGGTTGTGCCACGAGTTTATGATTGTCCTCCGTTAATATTTTTTGCGTGCATAATGATGGATGGATCCATTTAATTTCAGTTATTGACCAAGCTATAACTTTCATGTGATTTTTTAGTAGCTCAATCAATCGGTTCTATGTCACTGGGATAGTGTTGAATTAATAATGAAGAGCAACATATTTACATCGGCTAGGAATGCGTATTCTAGATTCTCTGGCATTGCCTTCAATTCCCTCTCGAGGGGCTCCTTCAATTCCCTCTCGAGGGGATCCTTGTAGGATGTATTGATTTCTGGGAGAGGGAGCTCCACCATTCACATGTGGCTATGATTCATCTTCTTTTTCTTGGGGTTGATCGAGCTCATGGGAATATTCCTCTTTCCTTGCAGTAGGTTGTTCCAATGGTTCATTAGTTTTTAGATCAACGACGGAGAATACAGGTTCGAGGTCTCCTACTTCGTGGAAGTCTTCTTCGTCCCATGTTGAATAGTTGTGCTTGTTCTGTTTCCTTTGTTCAAATGTGGCGGCTTCAATTCTTATTCTCAAGGTGAAATTCCTTTCATGCACGTCTATCAGAGCTCTTTCTGTTTCTAAGAAGGGTCTGCCTAACAGTAAAGTATAGTCATAATCATCAATGTCCATTATAACAAAATTTGCAGGGAAATCAAAAGGTCCAACTTCAAATAAAGCATCTTCATAGACTCCCTTAGGACGTCTAGAAGTTTATATGCTAGGTGGATGGTCATTCGAGTAGGTGCAATGGGCTTCTTTTTCTTGAGCTTCTTAAATAAAAACGCATGCATAACATTGATACTAGCTCCTAGGTCGGCTAGAAAATCAATGAAGTTCATTGTGTCAATGGTGCAAGGAAAAGTGAAAGTCCATGGATCCTTTAATTTCTTTGGCAGATTATGTTGTGTTACTACGATAGAGCAGTGTTTGTTGAGGCTGAAGGATGTAGCATCGGCCATTCTCTCTTATGAGTCATGAAGTCCTTCATATGTTTAGAGTATTCCAGAATTATTCTGATTACGTCTACTAAGGGTTTCTTAGCGAGATTTTATCCTTCTTCTTATTCTTCTTTAAGTCTCCTTGACAACGGCGTCAAAAACTTAATGTAGAAAACACAAGTATATTCCTAGATGTGCCTAGGGTCGTATTCCACAAGGTCTTTTGAAGGAAGCTACTCAAAACTAAATGTTCAAATGATAGAATGAGATGATAGAAATTAAATCAATGGGTGGAGGTTCTCTATATGACTCGAGTAGAGCACTTAACAAAATAGAAAATACACGAAAGTAAAGAGAAAGTTTAAACAAGTAAGGAACAAGTTGTTCAGGAAGTATCATCTAGATGAGCACATACTTTTCCTTAATAGAATTCCTATTTGTATTGATGCTATGTTGACATTATATCCCTTCCACTAAGATTATTCCCTACCTGTGCATGGGCCTCTTCGCTTCATGCCACCAACTAATTAATGAAGAATAAGGAAGTGAGGATAACACATCGTTAAGTGTGAGCTTTGACAAACCATAACGATGGTCTATGGTGTTGGGATCTTTAGCCATCGAGCATCATCTTTGTTCGAACACCAGAGCATGGTACTTACCGCCAATGCAAGCCTAACAATGGTGCGTACTACACGAGATTAGTTTCCTTGTCTCTCATGGTAGTAGTGTAATCAACACACATAGTAATACATCATAGAAAGATAATAAGCACATAAATAAAGTTCTTCAAAACTAACAAAAGCTTACCAATAAGGCATCAAAGAGTACAAAAACATAACCTAGTTCTTTTAAAGGCTCATTGATAAGATATTTGTGATTTAGATTGGAAATAGTTTCGAAATGACTAAAGTTGCTTTCATAAAAGGGGAAAATGTATCAAGAATGAGAGTGACACGCTATAAATAAAGTGTCATCAATGTCCTTAATCAAATTGAGCTCAATAGTAAACCTCTGCATCTCCATCTCTAGCATGAATTGCGTTAGAAGAATAGTTTGGAGTAGAATTGAGATAATCTTGATTGTACTCTAGAAGGTCGTTTTTCCTGGCTTGCCAAAACTTTTTTTTTCTTGTGTGTGTCATATTGAACAAATCCATTTTAAAGAATATCTATGTTTTGTTGAAATAGTGTTGCTTCCGTGTCTTTGTTCATACAACCCACATTTCTGCTTCACGTACTCACAACTCCCTCTTGTATGCCATCTCCTCTTTGTCTTGTGCCAATTTTCTTTCCTATAGTTCAATTCTTTTTCATTCATACTCGGCCCTTGACGTCTACCTCTCTTTCAAGTCATTTACAACCTTAGGAATTGAGCATTGTAGAGGTCTGAAACCTTAGCGACACCCTTTCCTTTTTTCCTCGCCTTTTGCTTGCCATGCCCCTCAATGGAAGATAAGACGAAGGTTGGACTTTCTTCTCTCCTTTACATGTTATCAAGGCCTGCATTGATCAATCATTAGAAGCTTGACATTTTTGGTTTACACTGATAGCTCCATCTTCCGATATCGATACTCAAGGTTATTACTCATCTTCTTCAACTTGTCAATTGGTTCTCCTCTTGCTTGAAAATTTTGTTTTCAAAGATTTTGAGAATTGAGAGATTTTTTTGAATGTTAAGAGAGAGCATCTTAATATATATAGAAGAAACTTAATGGGCGGTGGAAAGTGTCATCTTTTATGGTCGTCGAAAAGTGACATATTTTCAAATTTAAAAAATACAACAAATCATACATAGAAAAATAAACAGCATAAGGGAGGCTAGCGCAGGGGTGAACCGTATAGTGCACACGCGCGGTACCACCCCCCACCCCCCCCCCCCTTCCCTCCCACACACACATACACTTTCCCTAGCCAAGTTTGGCTTCCCTCCTCATTTTTTATCGATCATCCCCCAAAGTGGTCAAATTTGCATATTTGGTTCTTATTTTTTGTGGTTGGAGCTCAAATTTTCACCAATCCACCAAATAACCAAATTTGAACTTTGGGTTAGAGTTGGTCTTACCATCCCTGATATGAATCATACAACTCCTGATAGGGGTGTTAGTCGGTGCGGTTTCGGTTTAACCGCACCGAAATATCGGTTAACCGCAACCAAAATTGTCCAAAGATCATTAACCGAAACCGACAGAAACTTCGGTTAGCCGAAAACCGCAAACATCGATTTCGGTTTTCCCTTGCGGTTAACCGAAACCGCAGGTTCTGGTTCACTTTCTCGGTTTTCTTTCAAAAACCGACCACCCAAAACCGAATTTCAACCACCTTTTTTAATGATTCACCCTCAATTTTGAGTAACCTGCTTTTGTGCCTAATCACGAGAGGATTTCTTCTCTAATATAGTCTAGAAGATATACTCACCTCGTCTCTACCAAACCCTCATCCTCACTCCGGCCAGCACGACGTCAAAATGGTAAGTCTCTCTCGTTCCTCCTCTTCTCCCTCAACTCGCCCAAGTTCCATCTCCGGCTTCTGAAGTTGTTTCCCCTGCCTGTAACCGATAGTAGCTTTATCTCCTTCCCCATCCATCTAGACGGAATATTGGTGACTATATCACCGCCTGCTTCTGCTCACTGGCAGTGTTGCAGCGCATTCAGATAAGAAAAGAAACAGCACAAGCTGGCATTCTTTGAAACGAGAAAGCATTAAACTAGAGTTTTACAAAGCATGAGCCACATTCTGCAACCCAGAAGAGAAGAAGAGGATGTGATGATATTTTGGCAGCGGGTAATTGAGAGAGAATGGCTGAATGAACTTTATATTACAGACGGTTGAATCATCATTTTACTTACAGAACTCGGAACCCACGAGAGAGAAACATGATGACAACATACGCACATAAGAAACAAACATCTAAACATCGACAATTAGACTGCTCTAACCTTATCAGCGAAAGAATTCATCAATCGTTCTAAGCCCCCCATTGAAACTGTGCAAAGGGCTGTCAGTAGTTAGGCTTCAATTATCCATAACCCAGAGCCCCCCCACGCAGTTCTCTCAGCTAGAAGCACTCCCAGCAGCACCATCCTTCAAACTTAAAGACTGAACTTGCAAAGCGACTCCTTCAACCTGAGGGGCTACCATATGAGACAATTGATGTCCAGTGCCACCAAGAACCATACTGCTCAAATCAGCATATCCACCATTAGGGTAAGCAGGATACAGATAAGGACTGAAGCTGGTTCCAGCCATGAGGGGACCGCTCCAAGGGCTCCCAGTTGCCATCGGTGCAATTCCATAGCCACCTCTACCATATCCAAACACTGGGTACCCACTACTATACAATCCAGTTCCATACGGATACCCACCCATATAAGCTGAAACTGGTGCATAAGTTGGGTAAAGCTGATAACCAGAACCATATGAATATGATTGGAGCATTCCCTGATCAGAAGTCCTACTAGAAGAACCCCCTTTGGTATTTTCTCTTCCCAAGGCATTATTTCTGTTGATAGTCACTTCATCCCTTGGCACTGCTCTCTTGACCTCCACCTGCCTACCATTCAGCTCATGGAAAGGATTGAGCATAACCTTGTTCACAGATTCCTCAGCATCAAATGTAACAAATCCAAACCCTCTGGGTCGATTCGTTGAGCTGTCTTGCATGACAACAACATCCACTATTTTACCAAACCTCTCAAAATAGTTCCTGAACTGTGCCTGGGTCAAATCGGCTGATAAACCCCCAACAAATATCTTTTTGGTCCTCACAGAAATGTTATTGCTACTAACACTGCTACTGTTTCTATCAATCTCACTGTGCTTCTGTTGATTGAGATTTTGTTGCTGGTGGTGGTATTGAAGCTGGTCACTTCTGGGGATTGCTTTCTTGACTTCTACCTAACGAAGGAAACGAAGAACACAATAACCACAGAGTTAACTGAAATCAGGATTTTCTTCGGCTCCTCAAAGGGCAAGCCAGGTTCTACTGCTTCATCTCTGGGAATGTGAGCAGAAACAATCAAAGCAAACTATATTCATGATTTCAAACGAGAAAGGACTACCCTAGATAGGTGAGCAGATTGGAGGACTGTAATCTGTTATGGAAAGTACAAAACGCACCATCTTTATTGTAAGCTAAAAATGAGAAACTACCCAAAAAAAAAAAGAGAGAAAAAAGAAAACCAGAACAAATATACACTCTCCCACTCTCTTCGATCCTTTGCCCACTGAAATCTCACTAGCTAAACCGAAACTATCGTGACTAGAATGACAAAAGATAAAGCGCAATACAGTCCAACATGGGATAATTTCAACAAGCATAACTTTTACAGAAACCAAACGGGTGCAAGCACAAGAGGAAGGAGATAAAGACAAGCACGAGCAAGGGCTGAAACTGACCGTTCGACCCATTATAACATGGGTTTCTCGAAGCGCCCTGTCAGCAAATGAGGGGTCATAAAACCAAACGAAGCCAAAGCCTCTCGGAATCTTGGTAGTCTTGTCTCTGGCAACGAGGGAACCAGCAACGTCTCCGTACCTGCTGAAGTGAACCCTGAGAGCATCCTCACTCGTATCCCGACTAATTCCACCGATGAAAAGCTTCGCCTTGTCGAAATCCATTGCCAATTACACGACCAGAAGCTCAAATTTCACAAACCCTGAAATGAAAGTTTCTCAATTTTCGATGAGCGTAAGAACCCTAGAGATTGGGGGCGAATTCTAGGGTTTCAGATAAGCGGTGAAAAATGGAAAGACGATAGAGGAGAAACGTTTCAGTCTTTTTTTTACTTTCATCAAGGCTTTCCACTTGCAGGGTTATTCTTATTCCACAAACAAATTTCACTTTCCGAAGGAAAGCCTACTTTAAGCGACAAGGAATATTCCTCTATCGGTCCAATAAGAACTGGCTTATTCTGGGCTTGGACATATTATCGGTCCAATATTTCTGAGTGGGCCAAAGTCATAACTGGGCTGGATGCACCAAGTATCGGCACTGGAATCAAATAGAGAAGAAAGCCCGAAGTAAATGAGAATATATGGGCTTTACCTTCTCCTCAATCCTCATTAGTTCGTACACTAGCTATTTTTTTACTTGATAATAATGGCGATTGAATTAAAAGGCATAGAAAAATGGGTCTCGGCGTTACAAAGAGGGATCAAAATACCATGGACCAAGAAACGGAATCATACTGATCGGTTCAACAGAAAATCGGATCAAGAACGATAAGGTAAGCTGTTGGCGATTAGAATATCGTGTCGGCTGGTTTTTCCGGTGTAACCAGCACAAAAGGAAGTATCGCCCGGTTTTGGTCTAACCGACGGTAGACTTATGGGAAGTAACACGTCGTCATTTTTTGCACAAAAAATTAAAAAAAAATCGCGAAGGCCAAAAAACGCAAAATCCTAATCTCTAAGGAAAATCGGCCAAACGAAAAAATGGGAGCAGCGTTTCTTTTTTCCCCAGCTCCGCCTCGCCGCTCCTCCTCTTCTCCTCTAGGGACTGGCAACTAGCAACCAGGAACCGCCGGGCTGCGACCAGAGATCCCTGCTCCGCCCCGCCGCTCCTCCTCGGCCAACGCCTCTCCCTCCCCTGCTCAAGAACGCGCCGCTGGGGAACTGCTGACAGCTCAAGAACGCGGACAGAGGTAAGGAAAAATTAGAACGCTGAGTTTTTGGAAAAAATAGACTGCTCAAGAACGCCTAGGGGACTGCTCAAGAACGCTGAGGCCCTGTTCACTTTCATTTTCTTTTCCTGTTTTCTGTTTTCATATCATAAATTTGGCAATCGAAACGAGAAAACTTGTTTACTTTTCATTCCGTTTTCTATTCGTTTCCAACTACGACAACAGAAAGTGGCAACTTCCTGCTGTTTTCGGAAATGACAAAAATGTTGTTTTCACCTATTTTCAACATCTATTTGATAAAAAACAGGAAACAGAAATGAAAGTAGTTTTTGCCTTTTTGGATGTTTGGACTGATTTAAAGTATAGTACTTGAGTTTTTTTGTTTTCAATGTTCTGCCCTCTATTTTAATGAGAATTTTGGATGTTTTGGCAGCAACAGCCAGTGGAGAAGAAACCCGATTAGTTGATCAAGGAGCAGCCCCTAGTAATCCAAAGGTCGCCGCAAAGAGTGTACGAAGTAAAAGTGATCCAACTTGTGCTCATTCATCAAGATGGAAAAGTTGAGGTACTCACTTGTCTCTATTGTCAAAAAGAATTTAAAGGTGGAGGAATCACTAGAATGAAAAAACATCTAGTTGGGATTAGTGGGGATAATACGATATGCTCAATGTTTCATCCTGAGGTGAGCCAAAACATGCAGATAAAGCAGTCAAAATAGGGATTTTACCTAAAATCAAAAACTGAGACAAAATCGAAATCATAAAATAGAATCGTAAAATCATATGATTTTAAGTTATATATGGAAACTAACATTTAATCATATTAATAAGGCAAATCATTTAATTACACAAAGACACATAACATTTAAAATGATAATTCTCAAGGTTAATGTTCCAAAATTATCATTTTAATTGTTATTTAATGCATAACTCAAAATAATTCACGAGGAAAGGATAGAGCTTATGAAGTTTAGCTCTTGTTTTTCATTTTGTGTCTAGTTAGTTTAACTCAAATTAGTACTTCAGTGCGGTTAATTTCAACATCGTCTGCTAATCATGATTTAAAACTAAGAATAAAAGAACTCCAATAGAATAATTAATGCTAGTTGTTGATAAAAATAATAATCATTAATTGTTAATATTGATGTTAATTCTTACATACGTACAATATTAGGACAACTATTTTACCGATGAGTTCAACCGGACGAAGGGAAAGGGATTGACCGCGCCCTAATTTGATTTTTTTCTATTCAAATATTTTTAATAGAAAAAATATTTGAGAAGATGCCCATCATTGCCCTTTCTGCCGAAGCAGTTAAGCTTTTTTTAAATTTGCTCAAACCGCTCATTTTGTTCTCATACAATTTAAATCGCGATTTTGGTACGATTTTACGATTTTAAACCCGATTTTAAACGATTTTAAGGTCCACCAATTTTCTAGTAAAATCAGGATCGGAATCCCTAAGTAAAATATTAAAATCCTATGATTTTACGATCAAAATCCCGATTTTGACTACTTTGCATGCAGAAACTTTTGACTAATTATGAAACGAATAAGAAGAAATCTAAAGTTATCAAAGCTAGATTTAAAGAACCTAGTGATACAAGTTCTTTTAGTGCACAAGATGTTGGTAATAGTGCTAAAAGAGTTGCTCCTAATTTGTTTATGGGTTCGGTTGACACTTTCTTTGCTCCATGGTCATCTTCCGGTAGTCAACCGGGAATAAAGAGTGCCTTAGCAACTAAAAAAGTTGTATTGTATGTGGATCGAGCATGGGCTAGATGGTTCTATGATGCATGTGTTCCTTTAGAAGCAATTAAATCTCCACAGTTTAAAATAGCATTGGATGCTTCTATGACTCTTGGTCCTGGTTATGGCGGTCCTACATATTATGGTTTGAGATTTACTTTGCTGGATAGCATTGTGAAAGAATGTCAGTTATAGATTGAGAATTTGAGGTATCATTGGAAGGAATCTGGATGCACTATTATGGCGGATGGTTGGACGGATAATAAGCGTTGATTTTTAATCAATTTTCTTGTTTATTCTCATGCTGGAATATGCTTTGTGAAGTCCATTGATGCTTATGGTTTGGTTAAGAATGGAAGGAACTTGTTTAAGTTGTTTGTGAGGTCATTGATTAGGTTGGAGCGGTGAATGTTGTGCATGTGGTGACCAATAATGCATCCAACTATAAATTAGCAGGGACAATGATACATGAGCATTATGGTCATATATATTGACCTCCTTGTGTTGCTCATACCCTTAACTTGATTTTGAGTGACATTGGATCTATGCCTCATGTTAAGAAGCTTGCATATCGAGCTACCAAGGTCTCCAAATTTGTTTACAATCATGGTCCTATTTATTTCTGGTCGAAGACAAAGGAGAATTGGAAAGAAATAGTGAGACCTGGTGCTACTAGATTTGCTACTACATTCGTGAGTTTGCAAAGTATTTTTGAGCACATGCATGATTTGGAGGAATTGGTGATTAGTGAGTTCTTTAGAGAAAGTGATCTTTCAAGTACTAAGGATGGAAAGGATGGAAAGGATGTGAAGGCAATTGTACTAGATCAACAGTTTTGGGCTGATTGTGGAGATAAGGCGGAGATGTACAAGCCATACATGGATATCATTAATAGGATATGGGATAAGCACTTGAGCCGTGATTTTTTTATGGCAACTCACTATCTTAATCTGGCTATTGAGTATTCTGATGATTGGACATAGGATGGGGCAGTTACATTTGGACTTCTTAATCTTCTTGAGAACTCGTCTTTATGTCCTAATAATAGTGTGGTGGTGGTGGAGATAAATTTGTATGCTGAACGTTCAGAAAACTTTGGGAGGAAGATAGCAATAGATTCTGCACAGAAACAACAACTAGGTAATTGATATCACTTGCATTGAAGTTATTCTATATATTACAGTATTTAAGAAACTAACATGTATGTTTTATATGTAGATAAGAGGTGAAAATGGTTTGGCATTGATGCTCCAAATATTCAAAAGTTGGCTATTCGAATTCTTAGTCAAATTGCTTCTTCTTCTGGTTGTGAACATAATTGGAGTGTCTTTGAACGTGTGCACACCAAAAGAAGAAACAGATTGCATCATAAAGTGCTTAGTAACTTGGTGTTTGTGAATTACAACTTGCGATTGCAGAATAAGTAATTTTTTTAATTATAGAACTTGCGTGTTGAATTCATACTTTCTATGCTTACTATTGAATTGAATTATTTTATGTTTTCTGCTTTGATTAGGGAGTATTATACCAAAAATAACAAAGAATCATATGATCTCATAAGCCTTGAAAGCATGGATTCTGCTGTTACTAGTCACTGGTTGTCAGAAGAGGAAGAAAATCCATCTTATAGGGACAATGAATTGGATAATGATGAGTTGGATCGAGCATTAGAAGAGGAAGGTTTGTTCGTAAATCAATTTTGTATGATATGAATTCTAATACCAGTAATTGATAATAATTCTTACTTGTTTTCTCTTGTAATGTAGTTGGTGATAAAGAAGATGAAGGGGTTGAGTTGCAGAATGTAGACTTCTCTACATTTGGTGTTGTTTGAAGATATGAAACGTTATTTGTGAACATTGTAGTGCTTGCTAGTTTGAGTTTCGTAGTTGTGAACTTGTGGTTTGAGAATGTTTTTTTTGGTTGTTTTGTACTTTGAACGATTATGTAGTTTGAGAATGTTGTTTGGTCGTATTGTACTCGATCCTAAACATGCATTTGAACGATTCTGTAGTTTATTCTGTAATGTTGCAGTTTGTTGATTGTTATATTACTTATGCCTATTTAGTTTATTGAGGTTTGTCATCCGGTAATTCCGGTTTTATTCCGGTATTACTCCGAAATGGTATTCTGAATCTGCCGGTACGGTTTTTTTAACAAAAAAATATTTTTTTAATTACAAAAACAATATTTTACCGGTAAGCAACAGTTGAACCACGATCTATCACAAATACCCTACCACTAACGGATCCGATATGACTTCCGGTACGGTTTCCTTTATCACGCAAAAGACTTGATCCGAACAAAAACCAAGAGAAAAGGGAACAAGGAAGGAAAGCATAGAAATAAATTGGAATGAGAGAACCAGAAAAAAGCACAAACCACAGCCGAGGAGGCCTAGGGCACTTAAAGTCTGCAATCTTCCA